TATTCGGTCTGCTACATTCATATTGCTACTGAGGAAATATTTCCAGCACTGACAATGATCAAAATAAAATAAGAAATCAAGTATGAAATTCTTGAAAAATAAATGTTTTTGAAAAAGCAAAATTAAAACATTCATTAATGACAGATCTTACTACGTCTTAAAGTTAATTTAATAAAATCTTCCAAATGTATAACTATCTCTAAAATGTATAAATATTGCATAAAAATGTACAGAATATTAATTGGCAAATCAGATATGAAATAACTGTTATATATGAAATAACTGTAAAATGTTGTACATAAAGAGAGGAATTAAATAACAAAAATATAAGGTATGTAGTTGAGTACAGGGAATGAGTTGACATTTTTTTCCACAGTTAATAAATACATGAATTCAGCAGGTTTATGTTGAGTTCATCAATGATAATAACAATGAATTCATCAATGATAGTAACTCATATCGTAAAATGCCCTAATGGGAATGAAACAAAACAAAATATAAATTTAACATTTTTCTTACAAATCCAATGCCGTTTCTTGAATAAGTTAATACAAAATATCTTTTAATGTGTTGATCACCCTGCCTTCACCAGTTGTAACACAAACTTTAGTACACTTAATATATGATACATTAATGATCAGATTCTTCCTAGTAAGATTTACATATATAATTATTACTGATGAAAAGGCTGTTTCATTCAGGAAATACTGAGGGCACAATTCATATGGATACTACAGAACAAACTCCAAGATCTGAACTCATCAGGACTTTAGTGATTCTGAATTTGGAATTTTTCTGGATATTAGATTATGAATTTAAATCTAGTAAGATGACATACAGATATTATAAATTAAAAAAAAAAATAAGGATTTATGACATAATGAAACACTTAATGATCTTAGAATTAAGAATTAAAAAAAGCTCAATAGTTATTCTTTTGATTTATTAAACATTTCTTTCAATGTACGCTGTTTAATTTGCTTTGTTTTTTTCAGTTTTATGTTAATATTTTCTCTTAATTCTACAGATAGGTATAATTTTTTGTCCAGAAACACAGTTCCGTTGTTTACGTCCTGTAATTGCTACATCGAGAATTCGTACTAAATTGTCAACTGAAATTGTTTTTTTATTCTCAAAAAACTCTCTGCTCCTATCTTCATTATCAGTAGTAATAGCTTCTGGATTCAGAGCCATACTACAGATTTCAGCAATCGCTAGTCGATTGACGATTGGGCCACCATCATTGTAATGAAAAACTCCAGTTATATCTTCATTTATTACCATTCTACCACATTTCTTCAAAAATTCCATTAATTGGTTAATTTTACTTTTTGTGTGCAATATCTGAACTCATTCAATTTTGCAGCTATCATTATAAAGTTTTAAAGCTTTACTGCCTACTGCTTATGCTTTTGTAGCCAAAAAATTAGCTGTCTAAAGCTATTTGAACTGAAACCTCATAGGCCCATCACATGTAAAACTATCAATTGAATCCCATAAGGGGAAGACAAGGAGGGTAGGAATGCGGGGAGATCATGGTCTCATAGTGAACTGTAAAAGCCTTATATCAATGGAGGGTAAAAATGACGTCCCAGGGAGTGAAACTAGAATTAAGTAGTACCATACTGTGGAAAAGGCAGAATGAATAATACTAATAAAACAGAGGCAAAACTACTAGTGCAAGCAACAGTCCCAAACATACGCAGTATAAAGAAAAATATAAATAATACGCAGTATAAAGAAAAATATAAATAAAGATATTAAGCAAAGCACTGATATAAACAAAATGATGGTTTAGGCCACGAAATTGTGGTCTTTCATCTTGTGTGCAAATGGATGAATTCTGACATTTTCAGGGAGGCACAGTACTCGAGTGAATAACAGATACAGTACAAAGTCCGTAATACAGATTTGGGCAGGACTTCGGTGATTCCGGATCAGGGGTTTTTCCGGATTATAGATCATAAATTTTAATCTGGTAAGATGGCATGCAGAAATTATACAATTAAAAATATGAAACCGTAATTTATGAAATAAAGAGCAATTATGATCTAAAGGGTATCAAAATTTACAAAAATTTATTTGTTTACTTTATTAAAGATTTCTTTCAATGTAAGTTGCTTTGTTTTTTGTGTTAATACTTTCTTTTTAATTCTCTCTTCTATAAACAGACATCATTTCTTGTTCAGTTACAAAGTTCCACTGTTCAAATCCTGTAATTGATGTATGGAAAATACCGACTAACTTGTCAATCGAAATTTTTTCGTTTTCAATAACCTCTCTTTCACTTTCTTCACTATCGGAAGCGCGCATTTCTAAACGCTTTACTGGATTTATGCGCATGCATAGCCGATGCGAACATTAAACGTGCATGCATAAGTTTGTGGCTTTGAGGTCCAGATTATAGATCACTCGGATAATGGATGTCCGGATTACAGACTTTGTACTGTATTGCCTTTGGCACAGCTCATACTTTGTCTGAAGAACTTATCATTGCATTTACATAAGGAATTCGAGATATAGTCTGTCTTTAGGTTTTCATGAAGCAGCTTATTCCTAATCAGGAAGTGTGCGTTTGTGATTTGTCTCAGAATCTCATTCCATACAACCTGGAGTTTCTTGGCATCACTGGCAAAAGCAGCGCACATGCAAAAGCCCAGCACATAATAGCGTGTAAAACTATGGTGTAAATCTAGCTCTTCCTACCTAGTAGACTGGATGCAGAGTCTTTGCCCAGAAGAACTTGAAGGTTATTAATCGTGCCGTGCATTTTGCCGGTAACATAATTAAAGTGTGTGCCCCAGATGAAAACTGATAACTGAGCTGAGCTCCCAGGTAGTTATTTATCATCATAAAGCTTAGCACCATCATCATAGAGCTTAGCTAGTGTTCACTATATGTTAAATACTATGTATCATGAGATTGCTGACTAAAGACATGCTGATCCGCAAAAATTTTGTCTATATTCTTCTATTACAAGCTAATGAAATTAACTCTGAATTATATAAATTATTTCTCATATTTACATGTTTTTCCCACACATGATTAAGGATTATCCGAGTTCTGAATAAATTCTCACACGCACTTAAAGCTTATCCATGACTGGTGCTAAATATTTTGCTGCCTGGTGCAGTTTCTGTGGCTTTGAAATTATTCTTCCAAAACGCCTCCCTAAATTTTAACAGATTTGCCACCACTAAATTTGGCGCCCCAATGCTTTTCTAAAATTCTGAAGATTTCACAATCCCTTAATTTTGTTACATGGCACTTTCCTAAATTCTAAAATCTTTGTGTACTCTAAATTCTGCCACGGTACGGCCGCACCAGCTGTGGCTTCTGAAATGGATTTATCTGAATTACAAATTAGTTATTTTTAATTTAAACAGCATGAAATGTAATCTTTTTGTCTATCATTTACAAAATCTACTTTTTTGCATATGGAAAGAAATTTCTGTTGAATTTCTTCTTATCAACACACTCAATACTTCGCAGCTGAGTTAGGTGAAGTCCGTAATTATCGCCAAGCATAATGGCCACATAAAAGGTTGTAGAGACATTAGGTTATTTGGAAGCAGAAGAGATGAAAGATGAGCAATGCCCTCACCGAGACTCGAACCACAGACATCTTGAATACGCGCCGAGCTCGCTGACCACTACACCACGAAGGTATGTTAAGTAGACAGGAGAAATATCTTATATACTCCTCCTTTTAAAGGGAAACTGAGGACTAGGGGACAAAATCACTAAATCCTAGTGGTGGAGAACTATCATCTGCCAGCTTTTTTAGTTCCAAGGCCACTATAGAGACATTAGGTTTTTTGAAGTGGGAGGTATGAAAAATGCGCAATGCCCTCGCCAGAACTCGAACCTTTATAAAACATTCCAAGTGTGCTGACCACTACACCACGAAGGCATGCTAATATAGAAAAAGAAATGCTAGAAATACCTTATAATGTTACCATGTTGTTTGGTATTCGGTTACTAATATTAAAAAAAAGTTTAATCATCACTGCATTAGTCAGCTGCAGTGTGTTGATAGTTATGCAATGATGAAAATAAATAATAACAAATAATGATTCGCCAGGTTAGCGTCAGTGCTGGTGAAATTGTGAATCGGGACTCTCCATATATTTTCTAATGCAAAAATATCAAATGCACAAAAATGAAATGGAAAAATAAATAAGAAAATGAGGGGGGATGTCTGCTGGTGATCTAGAGGTCCGGATTTTAGATGCTTCCAAACATTGGACGACCTAATTTTGCTTTAACTTCCATTTAAGTTAAATGTCACCAAATAACACTTTTTTCAATAATGAGCACTATTAATTCCTGAAACTGAAACACACATTTACAGTACACTTTATTAGGACTTCATAAGGAGTCCTATTATATTATCAAGCAAATTTAGAGAACAGGAAATTTTTGTACTTAGAAAGTTAATAGAAAAAGCTGCTTAATAATGCCCCTCATTACTTAAATGGAAGAGCAGCATATCAATGGAAATCTCAAAATTAAGCAAAAATTCAATGTTAGACTAGCATAGATTTTGAAGGGAAAAAAATATTCTACCAATTTTGATGGAAATCTGATATACAGCTCTCTTTCAGAAATGAAAGAGAACGTTTTTCTTTCCTGCAATCAAACCATTTGTCTTTCAGTACTTAAACCGTGCATGTTCAGATAAAATGAGTTGAAAAGGCAGAAAAGCAAAGGTAAATAATTTTTATTTGGATTGCTTTTTCCATCAGGTCAGTTTACACTAGTAGCAGCTAGCTCTGCCCAAAATTCAAACCTATCATGATGACAGCTATTGTATTGTCAAAAACTAGGGTAAAGGAACAGCTGTGAGAACAAGTATAAAAAATATAATGACCTCACTAATCGACCAAAAACATTTTACTAATAAATTGCTCTTCAGGACTTAACATTACAAATAAATATCAATGAATTCTAATTTATATTTGAGATGTAAGTAATAAAAAAAAAGAAAGAATAGTTACCAAAAGGTTTCCAGATTGAGTTCCAAATACAATACACGAATCACACCACTTTGCTTCAGGATCCTCTCTTTCTAATTTAATCTGCTGATGCTTACTGAAGCATGATACCCTATCATCTAATCCAGTATATTTAGATATAGCATGACCTGAAAACACAGGAAAAAAAAAACTATTTCAAGAGTTCTAGCCAGATGCAAAATAGTCAAATTATTATATTGGTAAAAATTCAATGGAAACAGAAATTTAATAGAATTATGAAAAACTATTAACTTTGTAGCAAGAAATAATAGAAAAAATTACCACTATTAATATCCATGACCCATATTTCAGAATTCTGAAAAGCCACAGCCAAGCTGTTTAATGTAATGAATTCCACAAGAGAAATTGGACCATATTTACAAGCATCAAGAGTAGCAAAAGAATATCCAGAACGAGAAGGCCACATCTAAAAATGAATAAGTTAAATTATTTTCACAATTAATTTTAAAGACTGACAGATGGTACTGGCCGCAAAATATACTAATAATGTATATAAAACAACTATACAGATGATAAAAATTACAGAAAACACAATAGCATACAGCATGTTTATCACAGCATTGCATAACAGCTTTTATCATAATAAGAACATATAACATATTGATCGTAGCATTGACTTATGCATTCTAAGAAAAATTTCATTCTGTACAGATTTGGCTGCACTTCCTTCATGGAATGAACTAAGCTAACAAAACATATTTTATTTGTTCTTTTCCCAAATAGCTGATCAAATTCTATAGTTTTTCATAATTTTCAAATAATAATAATACAGTCAAAAGTCGTTAATCCTGCCTCGTCGGGACTTCGGCGATTCCGGATTATAGATCATCAGTTTAAATCTGGTAAGACAACAGAAATTATAAAATTAAAAATATGAAACCATATTTTATGAAATAAAGAACAATTATGATCTAAAGGGTATCAAAATTACAAAAAAAAAAAAAAAAAAAAAAAAAAAAAAAGCGTTAATATTTATTTGTGTACTTTATTAAACATTCCTTTCAATGTAAGTTGTTTAAGTTGCTTTGTTTTATGTGATAATACTTTCTCTTTAATTCAATAAACAGACATAATTTCTTCTTCAGTTACAAAGTTCTGCTGTTCAAGTCCCATAATTGCTGTGTCGAGAATACCGATTAATTTGTCAATCGAAATGTTTTCGTTTTCAATAACCTCTGTGTCACTTTCTTCACTATCGGAAGCGAATTATAATGAGGAGGAATTTGATTTAAATCATATCGTACATCGAGATGAAATACTACATTTAGTAAGGAATTATAAGCCAAATAAAATAAAAACATCTGCCCTGAAGATAAGGATAATGCTGACAGATCAACTTCCAATTCATTGTGCACCGCTGCCCCCCCCAGCCACAGAGCAGCTTGAAATTTATAAACAGATTTCGGAATGGTTAGAGAAACGAAGGATATGCCTTTATCCATTTTTTGCAGCAATTCCACTTTTTGTTTAATGGACTTCGAAACATACTTTCACTTTGTAGATCCTTCACATATTAGTAAATATATATCGGAAATTCTATTTAACATAATCGAAAGTTCAAGCTTACTTTTATAAAATTGCTCTAACAGTCTGAAAAAAAAAAAAAAAAAAAAAAAAAAAAAAGAGCCGGATTCAATTCGAAGATTAAGGAAAAACGCAATCTGCAACATTAACTGAATTAGATAATTTTAGCTTAGCTTATACCATCCGTTATACATTAAATGAGCATGCGTAAACATATTATGTGCATGCAAACAAACACATTCACAGTTGCAAAGGACTTACGCGCATGCGTCAATACGACGCATGCACAGAAAGTTTGTAGCTTTGAGGTCCAGATTATAGATCATTCTGGATTATGGGTGTCCAAATTAACGACTTTTGACTGTAATAGCAATAATGCATATTTAATTACCAATCAAACATCAGGTTTGACATTATGCAACTAATACACCTTAAGTCAGGTTCAGCTCTAGTAATTTGAGCATGTTAGACAATCAGTACAATTGGAGCCCCAACATAATAAAAAAATATTAATACTTCAAATAAAAATAAACCCTTATTGAGCTGTCTCTTAAAAGTTAATCTGTGCTTTTAAAAAATTGACGTCCTAAGCAATTATATATATACCCTATGCCTGAATTTGGTCTTACTTTTAAGCAAAAAGAATGCAAAAAATAAAGATACATTGTCTGTGATTAGTGATACGCATAGTCTGTGATTAAAGACTTGGAAACTGAGATGGCTATTCAGAAATTAAACATCCATGTGTTCTTAGATGCAGAAATCAATCAGAAATTATTCATAAACATTCAGGTATTTCCATATACAAAATTCAGTAACTGATTACAGATATAATCCTTCTTATCTGCGGGTAAGTCATTTCAGGATGTATAGCAGATAAGCAAAACTGTGGATAACAGTAAACATCATACAGAATACGACATTCATGCAACATATAAAAATGTAGCAAAGTTTGGTTGATAACTTTGGCATAGTAAAACATTATCAATATTAATGAAGAATAACAAATTATACCCTACACTATCTCACTTTGTATCTTGAATTGGTAATAAAATAATTCAAGATTTTTCACCAATGGATAAGACATCACAGCTTCTCTTTAAATGGTGGAATCGCTACTCTTATGTTAGGAAAACATTGTAAAGTAAACAAAGCTGTGACACATGTTGCTAACACTAACTGACTGACTATTTATTGCCGGACTACTACCAGGGACAAATAGAAGGGCTAGGTCATTCCTTTGTTCGACTCCTCGCCGACGCGAGTCTCACAGAGGGGGGAAACCGGGAGTAATCTGACGTATCTCTGTTGCACCTGCTCTGATTTCGCGCCTTTAAAACTGTAGTTTCATTCAGTTGCGAGACGATTTTTTGGAGATCGCATATCCCAAATTCATTTTAATCATACATATTTGTTTTCTAATAATGCAAATATTTAAAATAATTTGTGTATATATAGTTTTAGTCAGTTTTCCTTTAAATTCTATATTTAAAGTATCCTTTATGTAATATGGCTTCTTGTGCTGTAGCAACGTGCCGTAACACTTATACGAAAGGAAGAGATATTGTATTTCATGCTTTCCCCAAGGACAATTTGCTTTTGACGAAAGAATGGATACATAAATGTCGAAGACAGGATTCTATTAATGTGAAAAAAGCAAGAATTTGCAGCGAACATTTTCTGTGCAGTGATTATGAAGATAACATGAGAAATCGCTTGCTTGGATTTCCGCAAAAGAAACTGTTAAATGCAATGCTGTGCCGAAAGTAAATTTATCGTGTGCAGTAAACAAAATAACACCAAGAAATCGGAGACATTTGAAAAAACTAATGCAGAGTGCTTTTGAAAGACTACATGAATTAAGCCCAAAGAAAATTTATTTTGAGGCCGAGAGAGAACGAAATTGAAGCTGACAATAATAAATCAAATGTGAATGATTTTGAAATAAAACTCACAAGTGACAATGCCCTATGTGACAATATCCCTGAGTGCCCTAAGTGTAAAGATAAACAAGAATGTATTGATAATTTGAAGAACAAAATAATATCCTTAGAAAATTGTAATAAAATATTGACAAATAGAGAAAAGAAAGATTTTAGAATGTTTGCTCAGCGACAAAGAAGGTGGACGACATTTAGAAAGAAATTTGTATCGGAAATTCAGAAATTAAAATCCCAAACAGCGAAATTTAGGAAAAAAACAGAACAGATCGGAGAATTTGGAAAAACGTCTAAAGCATATTTTTATAAAGACGCAGATTAACGCATTGCTAGAAAAGAAGGAAAAAATCCGGTGGACTAGTGAAGATATTTCACGTTGCATTGTCATAAGAGCTCTGTCATCTAAAAGCTACGATTTTTGGAAAGAAAAAATGGGAATTCCTTTACCTAGCACTAGCACATTATATTGCAGGATATTTAGGACTGCACTAAATTTTCATGTAGTCCAGGAATTCAGAGTGATGTTCTTGCTGTAATGAAGGAAAGATGCCAATATTTGAATTCTGTAGAAAAAATATGCGTTCTCAGTTTCGACGAAATGCACATAGATTCTAAACTCTGCTATGACTCTAAACTGGACCAAAAATCGGTCCTTTTCAAAAGTGCAGTTTGTTTAATAAGAGGTCTCATTTCGCAGTGGAAACAACCAATATTTTTTGATTTTTAACACTCCAATGAAGAAAGAAAGAACTTCTTTTTTCACTCATAAGACATATTCAATCATCTAGAGAGTAGAAGTGAAAGCAATAGTGTCTGATTTAGGAGGATCTACTACTTTGTGGAAAGAGTTACAGATTTCGATTAATAGTTCTCATTTTCCAAATCCAGTATTCCAAACGAAAAAAATATGGGTTTTTTGCAGATTTAGCGCACTGCCTCAAATTACTGAGTGTTGGTGTATTTAATTATGACAAAGCACACTAGGGCTATCTGCCTAAGGGGAGGGATGCCTTCGTGGAGGACTTTCTAAGGGAAACTGGCTCGTATACACGTTACACATGGGGAAAACCACGAAAACGCCCATGCAGCCAGCCCGTTCGCGGGATTCGAACCTCGGACCGAACTACCAGTGTTCAGCGACTTTACCGCTCGGCCTCTGGTGGGCTCAAATTACTGAGAAACCACTTTTTAGATAAAGGATTTGTTTTAGAAGATGGAACTGTTTTAAATGTTGATATTATTAAAGAGAATTAAATTGTGTCACAAACTAAAACCAAATTATTTAATGGTCAAGGGAAACGAGAGACAAAAATTAAGTATATATAATACGTTTTGATTTGAAATATTTCTAGATTGCATTTTAGAAGTTAATAGCGTAAAGCATATTTCAAATGAGAACTAATTCTGTTAAGATATTGTTACAGTTATTTTTATTGTATCCTCTGTTATTATTGATTCGATTTTGTGCTAGCTTAGCATTCTAGATAAAATATATATAAAGTATAACATTATTGTATTATTGTATACATTATAAACTATAACATAAGTAATTGGCATAAGAAGACCTGCCCCCTTAACCCCCACTTTTGAAAAATTAAATAATTATTTTAGGTACTGTGAATAAAGTTGTTTTGTCTAAATTAAGATAACAATCTTACATGTATTTATTTAAATGAAATATTGATGTAAGCCTAAGTTACAAAATTATTTTTTAAAAAATATATGTTATTATAATGAATCGGGAGAAAAATAGAAAAATATGCTAATGTAAAATTTACAATTAGGCTGAAACTCAAACTTAGATTAGCAGAAATTTTGCCATATATAACCATACACGTTTAAAACTATGCCAATTTAAGGTTATTATTTTGATTAATTTTAAATAGCTGTTATTATAGTTATCTTAGCAGTAGTACAGTTCTCTTAGTTAACATGCAGATAA